GCCGTGCGCCCATACTCGTTCGAGCGGGCGCTTCGCTGCGCGGAGATCCACGTGCTGGCGGCGCGCGCAGACACCAGATGCCGCCTGGCCCGCAAGATGCTCGTGCTCGCGGACACGACACTCTTCTCCGAGCTGAAAGAGCCTCGGGCGAACCTCGACGAGGGTGAGCTGGTGCTCCTCAGCCTAGCGTCCTTCGCAAGGTCTCAGCTGGCGCGGCGCATGCCAGTGGAGGCGGCACGGCGCATCCTCGCCTTCAGTAACCACCATTGCAGGTGGCACGAGGAACAGTGCACTCTGGCAGAGTTCTGCGCGTACGTGGCGCGAGACGTGCTGGCGCACGTGGAACTCGCGGCGGAGGCGCGGGTGAAGCCTCGGCCAGCGGCGAGTGCCCACCTCGAGGCCGATGAAGACTCCGCGAGCGATGCCGAAAGGCCCAACGGCCGAGTCCCGCTGGAGCTCGTTGGCGTGGGTGGAGGCGGCGGCAGCGACGTGGAGGAGGATGTCGAGGACGCCGCGATTACAGAGATCTCCCTGTTCCCGCTGCGGGACCACGTCAGAGCAACCGAGCTGGCCCTGCAGCAAGATCACCTGCACCGCTTGGATCAGAAGGGCCGCCTCAGCTACGCCGACAAGCAGCTGAATAATCTCAATCGAGCGTACGGCGGCATGCTGCACGCGAGCTTTGCACAGCCAGCCAGCACGGGCGCGCGGGAGCATCTGGGCACGCGACTGAACGAGAGCTTTTCTGACATGCTAGCCTTGCAGCGGCAAAGCATAGCGCCACAGAAAAAGCAAACGAGCGCGGATGGAGAGATCTTGCCCGATGCTGCGGACGACTGGCTCCCCAGCGGTGCTCCTCAGCCTGCTGCCGAGGACGCCCAACCAGAACTCGTTCCGCAGCTCTTGGCCATGCAGGGCCCGGCGGCTGTTGCGTGGAAGCTCGTCACTGATGCCCACTGCACGGAGGAGCAGATTGACGCGGTGGCGTTGTTTGCGCTGTCTCTGCAGAAACGTTTTGACGGCAGACCAGACAAGACAACGCATCTCCTCCCCGTGGCGTCCGCGACAGGCAACCACAGAGCGATCTGGCTCGGTGGAGGCGGTGTCGGCAAGACGCGCACCCTCTCCAAAGTGGTGGAGCCGATGGCCATCACTTACTTCGGCGAGCAGGGGTACCTCGGCAAAGCGCAGTCCAACCACGCCGCGCACAACCTCGGCCCGCGCGGCAGGACCATGCATTCCTCCAATGGCCTGCTCATGTCGGATTCCATGCAGACAGCCAGGCTGCGCTTGACGCCACAGACGCAGAAAAAGCTGGACCGCCTCACAGGCACACTCGGCGTCGACGTGATCGATGAGCTGGGCGCTGTGCCGGGGCCTTTGCTGCATGCAGATGCACTGCGCACGACCTACGGCAGGGCGTTGCGCTACAACCTGGACCCCGCGAAGTACATGCGGCCGCAGAAGACGTGGGGACGCATGCCTGTGAAGATCTTGTGCGGGGACTTCTACCAGTTGCCGCCAGTCCCCGCCACCGCTTCCCTGCTGGCGCCTCACGCGGGCCAATCCTACGAACACCAACAGGGTAGGAAGTTGCTCGCCGACATCGAGTACGTCATCGATTTCGCGCAGATGCAACGCTTTACGGACCCGTTGCAAGTCGAGGTTCTCCACGCTATGCGAACTCCAGGCGGGAAAAAGATCTCTGACGAGAGCTGGCAGGCGATCGTCAAAACAGAAATCGTTAGCTCTGGTGGTGCTGCTCAGCCTGCTGCCAGCAACAGCGAAGCCGATCAGCCACTTCAATGGGATCCACGGTTGCGTGCAGCGAGAGGCTGGTACGAGTCGGCCTATGAGTGGCGCATCGTCTCTTACGCCATGCATGCACAGGCAAAGCTTGATGCGCACGATGCTGGCCAGCTGCTCTTTTACGTACCAGCAATCGACAGACCAGCTGCGCGCCTCGCGAAGCCTGATTTCGACGAGATGCGCGCGGATCCCAACATCGGCGCTACCGCAAAAATGCCAGGGCTGCTGCCGCTCTTCATTGGCATGGAAGTCATCCTGACGGAATCCGCCCTGCCGCCGAAGTATGTCCGCGGTGCGCCAGGCAAAGTGGTAGGCATAGAGCTGCACGCTCTGGAGCCTCCGCTGGAGGGCCGGCCGTCCATTGTATCGGACGGTGTGGTCGTACTCTACTACATGCCAAAGGCTGTGTATGTCAAGATCGATGACAGCGATGAACTCTTCTTGAAGGCCGCGAAGGTAACAGCTGGCAGTGCTTCTCAGTCTGCCGGCCCTGACCTGCGCGGAGTGCTCGCGATCACACCGCAGGCGCGCCCGTGGAAGTTCAAGGCGAAGACAGGTGGCCCGGCCATCGCGGTGTCCAGGACGCAGTTGCCCGTGTTGCCCAAGAAGCAGGGGACTCTGCATGGCGTCCAGGGCAAGACGGCGGATCCAGGCTTCATCGTCCACTGGACGTTTCCGCCCGGACTGAAGAAGGAGTCCATTTGGCTTGCCTACTACGTCAGCCTGTCGCGCCCCAGAAGCTTCAAACAACTCTTGAGCCACGGCTTGCCTGACAGGAGCATCATCGAAGGCGGTCCTCCCGAACAAATCGCCACGGCTTTCGCCGAGCTCTTCGCGGACGAGATTGCCGCGACGAAGATCGCTTGCGCGAAAGCTCGACAAGACTTCGGCTGGCCTGCACGAGCCTGAGGAACCGTGAGTTGCAGCATGATGAGCCGGCCAGTTTGGTGCGTCACAGCCTGCTCTCGCGTGGTGCTTCTCAGCCTGCCGCTTTCTGTATGCTAGCCTTAGCTTCAGCCTCCACTTGCGCGGCCGCGGTGCTTCTCAGCCTGCGACTCTTTGCGGTGTTTCTCAGTCTGCAGCCGGTTGTCGCGTTGTGCTTCTCGTCCTGCGCTTCCTGTATGCTAGCCTCAGCTTCAGTCTCCAATTGCGCGGTCGCGGTGCTTCTCAGCCTGCGACTCTTTGCGAGGCCTCTCAGCCTGCAGCCGGTTGTTCGCTTCAGATGCCGACTGTACCTGTGCGCAGTGAGATACAAGCACCCCCCTCTGCTGTGCAAGCGATGATAGACATGAGCGCTTCCAAAACAACATCACGAGATAAGCACACACTAATGCATACAGGCCGTCCTCGCTTTCATCGACATACATCGTTTGAGATTCCATGCGTTCATAGCAGAGTGTCGTTTGGATACACATCCATTCAAGTTCCCAGCGTTGATAGCAGTGTCTCGTTTGGACAGACATCCATTCAAGGTCGGTGCGTTGATAGCAGTGTCTCGTTTGGAGAAACATACTTTCAAGCTCCATGCGTTGATAGCAATGTCTCCTTTGAACAAGCATCCATTCATTTTCCACGCGTTGATAGCAGTGTCTCGTTTGGACATATATCTATTCAAGTTCCGTGCGTTGATAGCAGTGTCTCGTTTATACATGTAGTCATTCAAGCGACATGCGTCCATGGCAGTACCTTGTTTGACAACACATCGAATCAAGCTCAGCGCGACGATGACAACAGCTTTTGCATCACTATTACTGTTACTGTTGGTATCACAGTGCCTCTCACTGCTGCTGCATGTTTCAGTTATACTTAGACACATCGCTGTTAGGTTGCTTTGCCGGGATAATTTGCGGTCGTTGAGCACGTTTGGGGATTTTCCGGGTGGCCGGCGGGTTCTGCCGGAGCCCACTGGGGAGTTCTTTTGGAAAAAGAGCCAAAACCAAAACCTAACAGCTCATCCAGCACGCCGTGCACCCCTGCAAGCAGGGGGCGGCGGATCTAGTGGCCTCTGGCCCGTCCCGCCACCGTGCTTGGGTTGTGGAGTTAGAGTTCTCAAGGATGCTTCTTCGGGTCTCTTCGAGGCGTTCTCGGGGGCCTTGGGAGCAGTCCTGGGGCCTCTTGGGAGCCTCTTGGGGGCCTCTTGGGAGGCTCTTGGGGCCTCTTGGGAGCCTCGTGGGGCCTCTTCGGAGCCTCTTGGGAGCCTCTCGGGGCCTCTTCGGGACCTCTTGGGGGCCGGGCCTCCAGGGGGCCCACGGTGCCGAAGGCTCGAACATTCAGCAAACCAGGGAACACTATATGGCTTGAAGAGGTCGAAATCGTCTGGCCATCCGCTGCTTCATCGTCAGTGCCAAACCCTTGGATGGGCATCGCTTTGTGCCAGTTTTCCCGGAATTTGTGTGCCAGACCAGGGCCCCCAAAGCGACCCCTTGGAGGCCGAAGTCGAGGAAAACAGATTGGATTGAAAAAACATACCGTCGGATATCATCGGACTCTAATCATCAAATCGTTCGGGACGACCTAGGCAACCTTGGAGCACTCCCGGCGATGCGCAGCTGCTCGAGAGTTCCCCGAGGCTGCACAAGCGCCGAGAACCTACGAAGACGCCCTGGAACCCCAAACCCCAAGGAACTAGACCTCCCACATGGGGTCCAAGTAGATGGGGTCGGAGGATCCCGCCGCATCGACGATGCGTCGGCGGCGCTTCTCTGCTGGTCCCCACGCCGATGGCGCCGATGCATCGGCGAGGCGTTGGCGATGCGGCGCGATTCTTCGACCCCGTCTACTCGGACCCTATCTAGGAGGCCTCCAGCCCAGACCCCCGACGTCGTGATGTTTTCCCAACGTGACCCCCAGGAGCCTGGACCCCTTCCCCGGGACCGGTTTGTCGTCCTGATCCGTTTGCTGCTAGTCCCCAGGCCCAGCGAAGGCCCCCGAGATCCGACGTCTCGAAAGAATTGCAGCATCGTGAACAATCACGACCCGAGCCCCAGACCCCGCCTGTTTGCGTCACTTGTCGAGCCGGCTCGACCTGTGAGGGCCCCGCGGCCCGAAGTTCAGCGCGAACGCCCGGCTCGAGAAAATGGAGCCGCCAGGATCTCGGGTGCGGCGACTCCCCCGGTGGTGCTGCCTGCGCACCGCGCCGGGGTCCGGGAGAGGCGGCGCGGGGGCGGGCGCGTTCCGGGCCTCCCCCGCAGGCAGACCATGAAGGGCACCTCCGACGGGCAGCCGGGCCAGTCTGGGCCGAAGGGCGGCCCGCCGGCCGACGGCGACGAGGGCGCCGTGGTGCTGGAGAGGCTGGTGGAGCCGCCGCCTCGGCGCGCACGGTGCGGCTGCCTCGGGCGCGAGGGCGAGGCGGATGGCGAGGGCGAGGTTCTCGAGCCCAGGCCCCCTCGCGCTGTGAAACAATCTCCACGCGGGAGGTTTTTCGCCATTCTCGGCCTCCGGAGGCCCTCGCCGGGCCTCGGGCCCGTCACAAAACGATTCGGGATGAGAAACCGATCCTGGGGAAGAGGTCCAGATTTCCGGGGGTCGATGTTGTGAGAAAATCACGCCGTCGGGGGTCTGGGAGTGTTGTGCTCGAGAGGGGCTCGACGGTCCTCGACGGCTTCTGCTCATCCAACAGCGCTTCGCTAGAGGGAGTTTCTCGAGGCTCGTGTTCGGAAGGGGCTCGGCGGTGTTCGACTGCTGTCGTTCCTTAGTAGCGGTTCGCCAGAGAATTCTGCTAAAAGAGGTTGAGGAGGACCCCAGAAGAGGTCCACTGGGGGGAGACGGGGAGCCCCAGATCGTTCGGTCCGGCAGAGGTTTCGCTTCAGGCGCCCTCGCAATGTATTCAGGAATCGTGCCCTCTGCTCAATGCCTGCTACATTTGTGGTCTTGTCGGCCGCAGTCCCTTTGCAACAATGTACGCTAGGGTGTACATGGCCGTGTCTCGACCTCCTATTCCTCGACCCGCCTCACCTTCGCTGCTCGTAGGGTGCGTTGCTGACATACGCTGTTGTCTTTCAGTCGGAAGGTTGTCGGGACCCACGACGGTTCTCATCAGCAGTGCCTCGTCACAGGCGTTCCAGGGATGCCAGAATGGCCGCCAGAGGCAAGCGCTGTCGCCCGAGAACAGTCGACGGGAGGTGTTAGTAGAATTTTCGGCCTCGAGGGGCCCTCGCCAGGCTCCGAGGCTGTCAAGCAACGACGCCGGGGACATTCCGGCGAGCGCCGCGGACGCGCTCGCCTTCTCTCAGGCGACGCCGCTCAACAAGCCCGGCGGCGGCATACACCCCATCGCCGCGCCAAACATCCTCCGCCTATTGGTGAGGAGAGCGCTGGCGACGCCGCGCATGGATGAGTTTGCGGCCGCGTTCGGCCGTCGCCAGTCTGTAATGGCCACCAAGGAAGGCAGGGAGCTGCTGGCGCACATGGTGCGAGCGCTCACGGAGGTCAGTCCAGACTTGGTCTTGGTGGCGCTGGACGAGAAGAACGCGTACGGGACCGCGCGCCGATAAGCACGCCTGGCCGAACTGGAGGAGGCGGCGCTGGAGTTCCTCCCTTTTGCGAACCTGTTTCGCCGGCGCCGCTCCCCGTGCTATTTCTGAGACTTGGGGGGGCCTGCCACCGCCTGGGCTCTGCGGGCGGCGTGGACCAGGGGTACCCGCTCGCGCTCCTCCTCTTCGCCTGCGGCCTCCGCTCCCCTTTGCGCGAACTGGAAGACGCGCTGAAGGCAAAGGCGGCCGCCTGCGGCCTGCGGGCAAACGACGTTTGGGCACTGGCGTACATGGACGACATTATCGTGCTCGCTCCCCCCCCCCCCCGGCGAGCGAGGTGAAGGCGACTGCGGAGGCCACGCTGGGACCATTGAGGCTCGAAGTGCAACGGCACCAAACGCAGGCCTGGTCTGCCCGCTCCTCCTGCCCGCTTGGACTGGAAGGGCGTTGGCGCCGCGACGGCGTGACACCACTGGGCGCCCAGCTCGGGGGGCGGCCACTGCCGCCGGGCAACCTCCCAGACGAGGGCGACGGGCGCCGGATTGACTTGGGCAGCGCTGCCCACGCTGCGGCGCGCTGCTCTGAGACCGCTGACAGAGCGGCTGCGCTGCTGCAGAAGCTCGCCTTATACCGACGCTGGCCTCGCCGCACCTTCTGGCGACCCAGACGGCCCGGCCCTTCTCCGGCACTGCGGCGCATACGGTTGGACCATGACGCCCGAACAGAGCGCGCGCTGCCGCCTGTCGCTCTGCCTGGGCGGCCAGGGCTTCCAGGGCCAAGAGGAGCTTGCACCTGCGGCCTGGGCTGCCTGGGCGCAGGCGTCTGGGAACACACTGGACTGGCGGAGCATGAGGACTTGGAGACGCCCCCCCTACCTCGCGCCGAGGCTTGCTGGGGGACGTTGGCCGGGCTGCCCCAAGGCGCGGGGGACGCGGCGGGATCGCCACCAGGCCAAGAGAACGGACCGCTGCTCGACTGGCGGCAGCTCGCGCACGAACTTCAGGAAAGCTCCAGAGGAGGCTCGCGCACAGGCTGGAGAAAAAGCTACACAGCCTGGCTGCGCTCCTTGATCGCTCAGGGACGGGCGCAGCCCCGCTCCTGCAGAGGGCCACGCGAGGGGGCCTGGCAGTTGGCGAACGGCGGGCCGGGCCAGCGCAGTACTGGCTCGAGGACCCAGACTACTGCGCCACCTCCAAGTCATCAGGAGCCGCTGCTGCAGCCGCATACGCACCGGCGAGCTCGCGGGGCAGCCCTGCGGCCAACCGCTCTGCCGAACGGCGCGGCGCGCTTTCCGCTGCGCCTGCGGGGGCGGCGCAAACGCGCGCAGCCGGGATGTCGAGGACGCGTGGGGCCGCATCCACCAGGGGTGCGGGTTCCGCGCGGCCCGTCAGGTCCCAGTGCTGGCCTGGGACCGCTGGCGCTGGCGCTGCGCCGCGGCCAGCTGCGCTGCCCGCGGCTACACGCGGACGCCCTGCCCGACCGGCCTTGCGGCGCCTGCGAGGAGCCGCTTGAGGCCGAGCGCGAAGGAAGAGGCGTTCCTGGACCTCGAAGCGCAGCGCGGCGACTGCCCCTGGACGCTGGCGGACGTCACCGTCTGCTACAGCGTTCAGGGGGCGCGCGCGCCCTCGCAACCGCCGCCGGCAGCGACGGCGCTGTGGCCGCTAAGGGGGAAGCGGACAAGCGCCGCCGCTACCCCGAGCGCTGGTCCTGCCGCTGGCCCACGAGACGGCCGGCAGGCTGGGCAAGGCGGCGCTGCGCCACCTGCGCCGGCTGGCGCGGGGCCGCGGGAAGGGCTTGGGCGACCGCCCCGAAGCCGCGGCGGCCGCCAGCGCGGCGAGGCGCCGCTGGCGCGCGGAGCTAAGCTGCGTGCTGCACCGCGCCACAGCGCGTCAGCTGCGCAGCTCGCTTGGCCAGGAGCGTGAGCTCGCGGCCCGCGCCGCGCTGGCGGCCGAGCTGTGCGGCCCGGCCGGCGCTGGCTGGGCGCCAGGCGGGGAGTTGGAGCACTATTGGTTCGTCGCGGCGCTCGTCGTGCACAGAATGGGTAGGCGCGCGCGCTTTGTGTCTCGACTTGCTCTTTCTCCATCGTTGCGCCAGTTCTCCGACGGCATGTTCTGTTCAATGCCGTCGAAAACGATAGTTAGTAAGAGTGAGTCCCCTTCCCGAGGGTACCTGTTGCATCCGTGCCTCTATGGCCCATCCGCGACTACATTCGATGGCACACCGTGCTCGAAAAAGTTTCAACATTCGCGCCCACGGGCTTCGCAACTGTATCGTGCATCCTTGTTGCCAGTTTTGACTGTACCGGCGCTTCTCGTTCACTTTGGTTTCCGGCAGTCGCTTCGGGACCCCGGGAACATCAGGGATGAAAAGCTGCCCATGGAGACAGGGTCGGGGCATGTGTGGCCGCGGATTGAAAACATCAAATCAGGGGATATTTCGGCTCGGCCCCATTCCCTCCAATCCTCTCTGTTTCCTCGCCCTCCCCCCTTCCCTCCTCCTCTTCCTTGGTCAGGTGTTGCTTTGCCGAGTCCTTTTCCCATGTGTTGGGCCGCTGGCACATTTCACGGTGCGCGTCCTCCTGGTCTTTGACCGCCTTCCCGGCGCCCTTCGGGGAGAATGGGGAACATGGTTGAAATCGTGGACAATGTGGTGTGCGCGCCGACTTCAAGAAGGAACGCTTGATGTAGGAAAAGCGGGATCTTGGAGGAAAGTGGAGTGTTCAGGTTTTGCATAATTTTCAAAGTTTTGGGGTCCTTCCCCCCAGCCTCGAAAACTTCTAAAACTAACCAGAAGAAAATTCTTGTTCAGGGGAAAGCCATGGAGCCCAGGACCGATTTCCAGGACGACATTTTCCCCTCGCGCCAAGATGTGGGAACGCTCCTATGGAAGAGCAGACTCCCAACAGCTTCAGGGGGATCCCGTTTGGGAAGTGTCCAAGGCGGCCAGAGGACGTTCCGATTCAGACAAGACTCTCGCCACTCCCGAATCTGGTCAAAAATTGACCCTGTACCCGTTCCTGGGGTCCATCCTGACTCGTTTTGCGACGCGGATCCAGTTGTGCAGCTTCACGTGTGTCTTCTCTCCGTGTCCTCCTCCTCTTCCCTGTCCTTTTGCTTCCCTCGCGGAGCGTGTTTGCATGGTGGAGTCCCTTTTTCCATCAATTTTGAGCTGGCAGTTTGCATTATCGTATGGGCTTCTGCTCACAAGAAAAAGCGTACAAACGAAAAGCCCCCACGAGGCCCCAAAACAATTGAGAAACGCCAGGACGGGCCACCTTTTTGGCTCGACTGGCCCACAGCCGCCAACGCGCCTGCCGCCAACGCGCGTCGGACGCCTCTGGTAAGGCTTCGGGCTGCGCGCAGACAGCTCCCCAGGTCGTCCTGGCTGGCCTCAGCAGGCCCCCCCGATTGGCCCCAGCTGGCCTCCGCAGGCCCCTCGAGTGGCCCGAGGTAGTCTCAACGCCCCATCCCTAGGGCGCGGAGCGCGCCAGGAGCGCCGCCGGAGGCGAGCGTGTGCGAGGGTCAACCGCGCCCGAGCTCGCCATGAAGCAGACGGGTCCTGAGGGAAACGGGTCCTGAGCGTTTTTGCCGTCTATGACCTTCCAGTGCCTTTCGCGGGCTCCAGGGATGTCAGAAAGTGGCTCGGGCTGACGAAGTGTTCCCTGCTGGGATGGACGCACGTTTTGCATAGGGGATCCGGGGCTTATCAGTGGATGCCACAGAGGTTATAGATGGCCGACCGCAATGTCTAAGTGGGTTATAAATGCCCCAGGTTGCTTGGGGATTCGACATCTCCGCTAAATGGGCCGAACCCTCACTTAGCCCGGA